TCCGCGGCAGCTTGGCAACCTTCCAAGTAAGGGGCCTTTCCCTGATTACACTCCAAGCACAAAGCACTGGACTTTCACACAGTAAGGCTGCACACATTATTCTGTGCAGATGCCCACCTAGGCCGCTGGGAGAAAAGGTGTTAGAGGGAACCTCATATTGCCCTGTGGTATGCATGCTCTGGTTTATACGACTGCAAGCCATTTACGAGAAACTCAAGCTGAAACACTACTCATTTCCAACGTTTTGTTGGCAGAGGATTTACAATGTACGCTCCCAAACAAGCTAGCCACAGAGCACAGTGACAACTTCCCCTCTTAAGTCGCTCTGAGGGCCTCCTCATCAGTCCTAGAATTGGAAGATTGGTGGAGAAGAACTGGGATGTTGAGGGGGTACTGGATACTTGCTGGACACCAGCCTCCCCTTACCGAAGCTTATAGACGCCCAATTCCCGCCTGACCAAATCAGACATTGTAACACACACAGCTCTCAATAGCAGGACTTACATATGCAAAACTCTAAGGCAAAGGATTGTTGCAACTCCTTAGTGTCTTAAGGAACTAAAACACTGCCTAGCACAAGTGCACCAGCAACCTTATCACTAAATAAACCTCTGTATATTTTATTCATTTGAGTGTGGAGATGATATGATGAACAAAAAAATGCTTTAAAAATTGGACAAAAGACCTTTATGATCTCTTCACAGGATCCTATCTGGTGGACCCCCAAATCTGCCAACACAGAGAAGGCATCCATAGACATGTGCAGGACAGAGGCCAGACAAAATTGTCTCTCTCAGCCTCAAAGTGGCCTGGCAGTCACAGGAATGGCCATGTGGGGTCTGGCCTGCATGAGGAGTCAAGCTTTCAGCTTGAGGCACCCCACTGTACCTCAAAACCAAGTTCTGCTTAACAAAGAAAAATCTGCCAGCCCCCTCTCCCTAATGAAAGTTTCTCCCCGGGGCCTCAAAGCTTGGGGTTTTAACTCCTTCCCCCTCAGGCCCGGTCCCAAGGTGCAAGACACTTGTGCCAGCAGTGTGGGTCAGCAAGAGAGCAGAAGCCAGAAGAGGGCAGGCCAGAAGACAAGTACCCTGTGAAGATCAAGAGAGAGGCCATCTAGGTCCCAGGTAGCAGCTACATCAGACTGGGACACTTCCCATTTACAGGAGACTATAAAACACCTGCCTCACCCTCACTTGGGGCTGACACCATTTTACTCCTCAGCCCGTCTGCACCCAGGCTCTCATTAAAACAGTGGGTTGTGCCACACCGCCTTGTTTGTTGGCCTCTCACAGTTCGAACCAATAATAGAGCCTAATATCCCAGGTGGTAATCCAAGAGCAATATCTGCTCGACACCCCTCCTCCACCTTCCATATCCAAGTGATCACCAAGGTCCTGGCAGTCCTATCTCCTAAAAGTCTCTCACATCCACTTCTCTCCCTTCACTGTGTCCAGGCCACCAGCATGACTCCTGCATGTGTGTAGCAGCCTCCTCGCAAGATCTAAAAAATGCAAATCTAGTCATAGGTTCTGTGAAAGGAAAATCTTGAGGCCCCAAAATTATTAAAAAAGGGAAAAATCAAGTTGGGAAACGCTCAGGGCAAACCTGCCTCCCATTCTATTCAAAGTCACCCCTCTGCTCACTGAGACAGATGCATGTATGATTGTCTCCTTTGTGGGGGCTATTCAGAAACTCAAAAAAATACAAGTTTGTCTCTCACCTACTGGTGACTTGGAAGCCCCCTCCCTGCTTCGAGTTTTCCTGCCTTTTGGGAGGGAACCAATGTTCATCTTACATATATTGATGTCTCCTGTCTCCCTAAAAGGTATAATACCAAGCAGTGTCCCAACCACCTTTGGCACAGGTCATCAAGCCCTCCTGAGGCTGTGTCACGGGTGTGCGTCCTCAACCTTGGCAAAATAAACTTTCTTTTTTTTCCTTTTTTTTTTTTTACTGCATTTTAGGTTTGGGGTACATGTGAAGAACATGCAAGATTTTTGCATAGGTACACACCTGGCAGTGTGATTTGCTGCCTTCCTCCCCATCACCTACATCTGGCATTTCTCCCCATGCCATCTCTCCTCAACTCCCTACCCCCTGCTGTCCCTCCCGTTTTCCCCCCAACAGACCCCAGGGTGCAGTGCTCCCCTCCCTGTGTCCATGTGTTCTTATTGTTCAACACCCACCTATGAGTGAGAACATGTGGTGTTTGATTTTCTGTTCTTGTGTCAGTTTGCTGAGAATGATGGTTTCCAGGTTCATCCATGTCCCTACAAAGGACACGAACTCATCGTTTTTGATGGCTGCGTAATATTCCATGGTGTATATGTGCCACATTTTCCCTGTCCAGTCTATCATCGATGGGCATTTGTGTTGGTTCCAGGTCTTTGCTATTGTAAACAGTGCTGCAATAAACATTCGTGTGCATGTGTCCTTATAGTAGAACAATTTAAAATAAACTTGCTAAATTGACTGAAACCGTCTCAGATATTTGGGGTTCGCAAGTCCATGCATGTGACGTCCCCTGGGGGGAGCGTCCCTCCTCCTCTAAGGTTGGCTCGCTTCCTCCTTGTGCGTTTTCTTCAGAATGAATTTCACAGCTACTTGGTCTACACCTGTCTGCCCCACAGGAACCGCTGTTCTCCACAGGCACATGGCCGGCGTTCTTGCCAGGCTGTGTGGAGAGGACCGGGTTCCTCTCCTAATTCCTGCTCAGTCATGGCTGTCTCAGCTCTGAGTTCATAACAAATGTCGACAAGACCAGGAAACCAACATTCTCAGCCAACTGACACAAGAGCAGAAAATCAAACACCGCATGTTCTCACTCATAGGCGGGGGTTGAACAATGAGAACACATGGACACAGGGAGGGGAGCACTACACACTGGAGTCTGTTGGGGGAAATAGGGGAGGGACAGCAGGGGATGGTGAGTTGGGGAGAGATAGCATGGGGAAGGCAGCAAATCACACTGGCACGTGTGTACCTATGCAACAATCTTGCATGTTCTTCACATGTACTCCAACCTAAAATGCAATTTAAAAATAAATAAATAAATATAAATAAATAAAGTTGAGAAATTTGCTCAAATTTACTCGATCAAAGAATTACAAACTGTAGAAATCTGGAACTGCGCCCCCTACTCCAGACGTGCCCACCCATCCACTCCCTCTAGGCGGGTGTCCCCCACTGAAGCCTTAGTACCACACCCACTGACAGAAGCCCCAGTCTCACACTCAGCAGCAGACGCACTCCCTGTTCCCCTCCAGTCAGGTGCCACGCTGGGCAGCCCATACCCTGGTGGGGTCCCTCAGGCCTAGGCCGGGCAGCCCACCTTGGGATCCCTGCGCATGGAGCCATGCAGCTGGATGAGGCTGATCCCTCACCATGCTTATCAAGCATCTGCCACTTCCCAGGAATTCTGCCCCTGGATAACAAAGGCAAAGTGCATGTCTGTGCAGAAGCAGTAGCAGTGTGGTGGCACAGTCAGTAAAACTTGGGGGCCCTCTTGGTATTTTCTACCCCTGATCCGTGTGCATACTTCTGTCATAGCTCTGACCACAGTAGATTCTGCCATCATTGTGTCTTACATCCTCTGAACCCTGTGCAACGTCTGTTTATGGTGAATGCTCAGTAAGGTTCACTTCTTGCTGCTATCTTATCATCATATCATTTCTATGTACCCAGCTAGCTAAGAGTCTGGACTGTGGTTACATTCTTAGGAATGTTTGCAAGGTCATATTTAGGTGTGAGGAGAGCAGAACAGAGCTAGAGATTATGTTGCACACAGCTGTCAGCACTGGATACCTGGTGAATGTCTTATGCAAATGGGTAAAGTGAGGAGCAGCATTTGGAGTGTACAGGACTTAAGTATTTGTGTATAACATATTATTGATGCCTGTGTGTCATACTCTTTTACTCCCAGTCTGGTACGTAATTGCATAACATATCTGAGTCCGGCACTGAGGGAAGCAGTCTGGGTGGAGGTACAGCGGGGCATGATCAGCATTTAGGAGACACTTGAAACTAGTAAAGACTGAAACACCCCTAGAGAAGGGGGTTAGCGAACTGCCCATGTTGAGGGAGGGAGAGGCAGTTACAGATTACAGTAGGATGAAAAATGAAGGGGAGGTAAGAGGCATGAAGAAGGCAAAGGGTCACAAGTGTGGGGCAGGCATCTTTGGCTGTGTGGTCAGTGTCATTCAGTCATGAGAGTTTAGGCTTTCTAACAGACGGTGTCTTACATCAACCATGTGACATGGGCACTGTTTTTGTCTCTGTTTTACAAGTAAGGAAACTTTTGCATTTTGACTTGTAAATACAGGCTGAGCGCGGCAACTCATGCCTGCGATCCCATTACTTTGGGAGGCCGAGGTGAGATGATCACTTGAGGTCAGGAGTTTGAGACCAGCCTGGCCAATACAGTAAAACCCTGTCTCTACTAAAAATATAAAAATTAGTTGGGCATGATGGCAGGTACCTGTAATCCCAGCAACTGGAGAGGCTGAGGCAGGAGAATCACTTGAACCCAGGAGGTGGTGGTGTAGTGATCCGAGATCATGCCACGGCACTCCAGTCTGGGTGACAAAGCGAGACCCCATCTCAAAAAAAAAATAAAAGAAGAACTTGTAAATACAGAATATTGTCTCTCCAGTTAGGAGTGGGAGGTGTGACCTTAAACATACCTGCAGTAGGAAGATATCATAGGGAAAACCACCCTAAGAGAATCTTGTGTGTACAAGGTTAAAACCCTAAGGCTCAGCATGTGGCAGGCAAGTGTATATTTTGGAGCTTACTCACATTTGGATTTGTCCTATATTAATGGAGAAGGGTGTCACTGTGTCCTTGGGCCTCTCTCTCATTGGCTCATTGTCTCTCCTGTCCAGGAAGAGGAAGACAGAGATTTGGTTGAGGGGACTTATCTCTAACAGCAGCCTCTTGTTGATCTTCCCAGACAATACTCCCCTCCCCCCATCGCCTCCGCCACCACCCTGGGCTGGACCCCTCTCTACAGCTAGGAGCCAATGGCAGAAGACAAAACCAAACCCAGTGAGCTGGACCAAGTGAAATATGATGCCGATGACAACGTGAAGATCATCTGCCTGGGAGATAGCGCAGTGGGCAAATCCAAGTATGTTGGGAGATTAGGGAAGAAATACCAGGCCCAGAGAGGATCTGGGTCATTTAAAAAGTCCTCCATCAACCTGGCCAACATGGCAAGACCCCATCTCTACTAAACATGCAAAAATCAGCCGGGCATGGTGGCACACACCTATAATCCCAGATACATGGGAGTCTAAGGCAGGAGAATTTCTTGAACCTGGGAAGCAGGAGGTTGCAGTGAGCTGAGATTGCATCACTGCATTCCAGCCTAGGCAACAGAGTGAAGAAAAAAAAAAAAAAAAAAAGCCTCCAGAGGCAGATGAGCATGGCTTCTCAGGGCTGGTGAAGGAGCAGTCTTGGCTGGAGCCCAGATATTCATGGGGGAACGAGGGGAATCACTTGCACAGTTTTGTGTGTTGCGGGGACAGGGGCAGGTCATAAGGACTGAGGAATTTGAGTGTTTCCTCTGAGCCCTGTGAGAAGGTGTGGCAAAGTTGAGGACATGGTATGTGGTATGCGGGCTGAGGGATTACAAGGGCAGGGAACGGCAATGGGAAGACAAAAGTAGTCAACTATGCAACCGTGACAGATTGGTAAAGGTGGTAAAGATGCTTTCTGGAGGGACTCTCTGAGATGGAGAAAACTGGGTAGAACTAATGATTTACTATAATCATTGTAAAAATTGGTGTATACTTTTTTTTTTCTGTTTTTTTCTTTTTTTTCTTTTTTTTTTTTTGTTTTTTTTATTTTTTATTTTTTGGTGGTGTATACTTTTAAAAAGCCAATTGCAGTTGGGGTTAGGGTTAGGAGTTAGGGTTAGGGTTGGGTTTATGGTTAGGGTAGGGGTTAGGGTTAGATGTTTAGGGTTAGGGTTAGGGTAGAGTTAGGGTTAGTGGTTAGGGTTAGGGTTTAAGGGTTGGGGTTGGGGTTGAGGTGTTAGGGTTACAGGCGTGAGCCATGTGCCGGGCCGGGAAATGGCTTTTGAATGGAAGGAACAGCCTTCCTGGTCTGTGTTTCCCTGTGCAAACATGAGTAACTGTGCAGCATTGTGCTGAGATGGAAATATCAGATTTCAGAACTTCACACGGGTGGTGTCTGTGTATCTTAGTGATATGTGCTGTATGTGCTGTTTTGTTATGACAGGTTTGTTATGCTTATTCCTAGCTTCCAGACTTGACCTGGAAACTGTGGTTGTATTATGAAAGGGGAAAGGGAAGCCGTAAGTGGCTTCCAGGTTGTCAGCCTTAGGGTGATAAAGTTTGGGACAATAGGCCGGGCGTGGTGGCTCATGTCTATAATCTCAGCACTTTGGGAGGCTGAGGCAGGCGGATCACCTGAGGTCGGGAGTTCAAGATCAGCCTGATAAACATGGATAAACCCAATCTCTACTAATAATACAAAAATTAGCTGGGCGTGCTGGCACATGCCTGTAATCCCAGCTACTCAAGAGGCTGAAGCACAAGAATCTCTTGAACCTCAGAGGCAGAGGTTGTGGTGAGCCGAGATGGCGCCATTGCACTCCAGCCTGGGCAACACGAGTGAAACTGTCTCAAAAAAAAAAAAAAAAAAAAAAAAAAAAAAAAGAAGTTTGGGACAACGGGGAGATGGACACGCCATCTGACCACCTTGCCTGTTCTGCTTACAGACTCATGGAGTGATTTCTCATGGATGGATTGTATCCTTCAAGGTTTGAAATACCCCTTGTTCCTGTGGGTCTTCCCATGCTCATGTATCTGTGCCCCATTGCCCACTCCTTTGTATTTATTAGCAGTCCAGGAAGGAGGATTGGGTAACTGAATGCACAGGTTTTGTTCTGCACTGGTTTCTTGCTGATTGACCCACATGGCATTGCAAATCAGTGCTGTCTATATTGGAGTTTACTCATATTTGGATTTGTCTTACATTAAGAGGGCAGTAGAATGGCTAATAACACGTGGTCTAGATTCAAACCCCATCTCCTCCTCCTCCTTAGTAGCTTCTGACACTGGGCAAGTCATTTAACCTCTCTACCTCAAAGCTTGAGCCCCCTACTATTGAACAAATCTCTGATATGAATGAACTTTATAAAATAGGGGCTGCCAGCCCCACCCTCCTCCCATGAATTGTTATATTGTATAGGTTTGGAGTGAGTTCATCCCTCTTACTGGGAGACTTTTTAAACAGCTTCCCAAGTGGATCCACTGAGAACCACAGATGAGAAGAGTCCCTGGAGCCTGCTGCTCCCTGTCCTAGGCCCAGCACCCCAAGGCTCAGTTGTCTTAAGATCTGAGTATGTCTTACTCCACCTTGTACCAGGTGCTTCTGCACACCCAGCCCACCTGTGTCACTTGGCTCTGCTGGTTACACCGTCTGGCATCTTGCAACCTCAGAAGGTGTTCAGCCCTAGAGTTTAACCTTTTTTCTCAGGGTTTCACACATAGGCAGACTCCAAATTGATTGACAGCATGCCAGCTGTATGGCTTGTGGGAGTTTTTTTTTTTTTTCCCTGGAATGGTCATGTTGCTACCTAGTGTTAGGGTTTCCTTTCTAGCATGCAAAAGTTCCATCCTTGATGGAGTTGGGGCATCTACATTTGCATTTTCCAACTGCATGATGCTATTTATGACACTTGTCTGTAAAATCCTGTTCTGTGTTTCACCTCAGACTTCAATGGCCAGGACACACTCACATCCCCTCCCACCCCTAACCCTTCCATGGAGCTTGAACCAGTGATATGTGAAGCTGATCCTCTGCAACATTCATTTGATTTAAAATGTTAATAACTCCAAAGAGAAGAGGAAGAAGAGGATCCATTTCATCAAACCAAACACTCCTGCTCCCCGCTCCTTCCTTACCTCCCCTTTTATTGGGTTTCCCATCTCGTCTAAAAATACAAAAAAAATTAGTCAGGCGTGGTGGCTTGTGCCTGTGGTTCCAGCTACTTGGGAGGCTGAGGCACAAGAATAGCTTGAACCCATGAATCGGTGGTTGCAGTGAGCTAAGACTGCACCACTGCACTCCAGCCTAGGAGACAGAGCGAGGACCTGTCTTAAAAAAAAAAAAAAAAAATGATCCGTAATATTTACTGCTGGTGAAGGCTACAGGCACTCTCTTGCTAACCCTAAACCCTGACTCTGACCCTGACCTCATCATACTGTTCCCCACGAATCCCTCAGGTATGTTTCCTTTCTGCTAATTTTTATCCTCCAACCTTCTAACCCTTTATACTATAAATACTAAACCAACCCATACTCATCCCCAATCCCATCCCCAATTTAATAATACACTAGGACTTGACATCACAAGAAAAGAAAGGTGTATAGATCAATGTCTAGTATAATTATTCAATTAATAATGCCCAATAAAAGAACTGTAATTTCATATTAGCACGTTTTTAAAGGATTACACACCATGATAATTAAATCCTTTTCTCAGAAAATCGAGCTGTTTTTGCATACTAAAACCATCCCTGCAAATTAACATCAATAAATAGAATGAAGAAAAAGCCCACATACTAATCTTAACAGAGGCAGAAAGTACTTTCGACAAAGTCAATATAACTTCATCATAAAAACACCCCAAAACTAGGGATATGAATTTTCAAAACACAACCTTGGGCCTTTAGCACTATTTCCATTGTTAGGGCCCAATGCTTTACTACTAAGATCAGAACCAAGGCATCAATGCTCATTTTCATCACTGTATTCGACACTGTACTGCAAGTTCCATGCAGAACAAATAGGAAAGAAAAAGAAGTAAAGAGCATTCATATATGTAAGGAAGCAGTAAAACTGTCATAGATCATGTGATCCATGTTAGGTACAGAAAATCATGAGGAACCCACCCCCCCGCCAAAATATTATTAAAACTAGTAAATAGATTCAGCAAAGTTACAACACAAAATGTCAACACACAATAATTTGCTGTTTTTCTAGACACGAGCAACAAACAACATGAGAATGTAATTAAGAAAACAATTCCAGGCTGGGGGTGGGAACTCACACCTGTAATACCAGGACTTTGAGAGGGTGAGGTGGGAGGATCTTTTGAACCCAGGAGTTTCAGGCCAGTATGGGCAACACAGGGAAAACCTCTCTCTACAAATAATTTAATAATTAGCTAGGTGTGGTGGTGCATATCTGTACTCTTAGTTACTTGGGAGACAGAGGAGGGAGTATTGCTTGAGCCCAGGAGGTTGAGGCTGCAATAAGCCACGTTCGCACCACTGCACAACAACCTGGGCAACAGAGCGAAAGCATGCCTCCAAAAACAAACAAACAGACAAACAAACAAACAAAGACAGATAAGAAAAGGAAATTCCATTTTTACAAATCAGCAGGCTGGACATGATAGCTGACACCTGTAATCCCAATACTTTGGGAGGCCAAGAGGGGAGTATCATCTGAGGCCAGCAGTTTGGGGTCAGCCTAGGCAAGACAGCAAGACCCCAACTGTACAAAAAACCGACCGCCCGACGGTTCCTCCTCCTCTCCCGGTACCGGGGTATCCCCCCAGAAACGTACCCGCATCCATAACCGCATCTTGGCCTGCGTGGGAGTGACACAACCAAGCCTCCAAGAACTGACGCTAAGACGAGCCCAATGGGAATCGCGGCTGCGCTCCCTCCACCGCATTCAGCGGGGACGGGAAGCCTTTTACTCACCTTTGCCTCGGCGGGTCCAGGTGTCTGGAAGCGGCCTCTCCCAAGCGGGTCCTGACGAAAGGAAGCTGAGTCCTCACAAGAGACGCCCAGGACGCCGGCATGCTGATGAGTCGCAGTGCGCATGCGCGGCGCAGGACCTGGGCGCCCCCTTGTGGCAGGCCTGGGGAAATCTCTGAAAATCCGCGTCTGGATTTTTCCAGGCAGCGATTTTGGAAATATGTTTTATTTTATATTTTATTATTTTATTTTATTTTATTTTATTTATTTTAATTTAATTTTAATTTTATTTCATTTATATTATTTTATTATTTTATGTATTTAATTATATTTTATATTTTATTTTATTTTGTTATTTTAATTATTTTATTTATTTTATTTTATTTTAGGTTTTGGGGTACATGTGAAGAATATGCAAGCTTGTTGCATAGGAACACACATGGCAGTGTGATTTGCTGCCTTTTTCTCCTTTGCCTATATCTGGCATTTCTCCCCATGCTATTGCTCCCCAACTCCCCACCCCCTGCTGTTGCTCCCCTATTTCCCTCCAACAGACCTCAGTGTGTGATGCTCCCCTCCCTGTGTCCATGTGTTCTCATCGTTCAACCCCCGCCTATGAGTGAGAACATGTGGTGTTTGATTTTCTGCTCTTGTGTCAGTTTGCTGAGAATGATGGTTTCCAGGTTCATCCATGTCCCTACAAAGGACACGAACTCATCGTTTTTGATGGCTGCATAATATTCCATGGTGTATATGTGCCACATTTTCCCTGTCCAGTCTATCATCGATGGGCATTTGTGTTGGTTCCAGGTCTTTGCTATTGTAAACAGTGCTGCAATGAACATTCGTGTGCATGTGTCCTTATAGTAGAATGATTTATAATCCTTTGGATATATATCCAGTCATGGGATTGCTGTGTCAAATGGAATTTCTATTTCTAGGTTCCTGAGGAATCACCACACTGTCTTCCACAATGGTTGAACTAATTTACACTCCTACCGACAGTGTAAAAGTGTTCCTATTTCTCCACATCCTCTCCAGAATCTGTTGTCTCCAGAGTTTTTGATGATCGCCATTCGAACTGAAATGAAATCGAATCCGCCATCCCATGCCTTAATCCGAATGCGCGGAGGTAGCAACCAAAGAAAATGATCAGTTCACACCTGTAATCCCAGCACTTTGAGAGGCCAAGGCGGGCAGATCACTTTAGGTCAGGAGTTCAAGACCAGCCTGGCTAACATTAAGCAACCTGGTCTCTATTAAAAATACTAAAGTTGGCTGGGCATGGTGCCACGTGCCAGTAATCCCAGCTACTCAGCAAGCTAAGGCAGGAGAATTGCTTGAACCTGCGAGGTGGAGATTGCAGTGAGCCAAGATCCTGTCTCTGCACTCCAGCCTGGGTGACAGAGCCAGACTCTGTCTCAAAAGAAGAAGAAGAAGAAAAAAAAGATGGTCAGTAGATGAAACTTAATTGATTATCTTTCTTTTCTTTTTAAGAGAGAGGGTCTCACTCTGTTGCCCATGCTGGAGTGCAGTGGCATAATTGCAACTCCCAGGTTCAGCCTCCAGCTCCCGGGTTCTAAGAAATTCTCCAGCCTCAGCCTCCCAATGCACTGGGATTACAGGTGTGCACCACCACACCTGGAACCATCTGATTTTCTTTTATTTATTTATTTATTTATTTATTTTAGGGGTGGGGCAGGTCTAGCTATGTCACCCATGCTGGTCTAGAACTCCCAAGCTCCAGTGATCCTCCCAACTAGGCCTTCCAAAGTGCTAGGATTACAGGTGTAATCCCTGCCACCACACACTGCCTGCTTTTCTCTCTATCAGCAACAATGTATAGGAATAATTTGAACTTGAAATTTTTTAAAAATACCATTTGCAATAGCACCCCCACAAGTGAATTTATAGGCATAAATCTAACAAAATACATACAAATATGCATTGAGAAAACCTTGGATCACGGTTGAGAAGAATAAAAAAAATATATAAATGAATGCAAATACTCCTTGTTTAGGAGCAGTACACTCATTAATGTTAGCTTCACCACAAAGCTAAAGTAATGAAGAGAGTGATATTGTTGAAGGAATGGACAGACAGATAAACAGAACACAATACAGAACCCAAAAAACCTGAGTAAGTACAGTCAACTTATTTTGTCAAAGGGGCAAAAGCAATTCATTGGGGAAATAAAAGTCTGTTCCACAAATGGTGACAGAGCAATCGGAAACCATAGGGAAAAAAATGAACGTAGACCAAAACCTCATAGCCCATCCCCAAAAAAACACTCAAGACAGTCCGTAGACTTACATTTTCAAATACAAAATTGTAAAAGTTACAGAAGAAAATCCACATGACTGGGTTGGTGATGACTTCTTAGATACAATATCAAAAGCCAGTCCATAAAAGAAATAAATGATAATGTGGACTTCATTAAAATTTAAAATGACTACTCTGTGAAATATCTTGTTAAGAGAATCAAAAAACAAGCCACAGGCTGAGAGAAAATATTCACAAAACAACCCTGAAAAAGCCTTGTGTGCAAAATGTACAAAGAAATTCTAATACTTAACAAGAAGAAAAAAAAATAATAACCCGAATTAAAATATAAAGACACCTCACCGAAAAAATACAGATGCTATGCCTGGGTGCAGAGGCTCATGCCTGTAATCCCAGCACTTTAGGCAGTGGAGGCAGGTGATCACTTGAGGCCAGGAGTTCAAGACAAGCCTGGCCAGCAGCATGGCAAAACCTCGTCTCTACTAAAAATACAAAAATTAGCCAGGCGTGGTGGCACGTGCCTGTAATACCAGCTACTCGGGAGGCTGGGGCAGGAGAATCGCTTGAACCTGGGAGGCAGAGGTTGTAGTGAGCTGAGATGATGCCACTGCACTCCAGCCCGGGCAACAGAGGAAGACTCCATCTCAAGAAAAAGAAAGACAGAAAGAAAGAAAAGAAAAATACACAGATGGCAAACA